TTGGACTTCTTGCCGTAGTCAACGGAGAGACGTTCCATCAGCAGGGAGGTGAAGCCAGAGCCAGTGCCCCCGCCAAAGCTGTGGAAAACCAGGAAGCCCTGCAGACCTGTGCACTGGTCAGCCTGTTAGAAATAAAGGAACAGATGAAAGATTAATTTGTTTTTTGGGGATACAACCACACTATACTCTTTATTTTTCATATATCCCCAAGGATTTAAAAGTTATTTTGACAAATGCTTTTTATTATGGTTGTTTTGAGACAAAGTCTTGCAGTATAGGTCAGGCTGCCTTAAACTTACCCTGCAGCCCTGGTTAGCCTCAAACTCAGAGCAGTCCTTCTGCCTCAGCCTTCCAAGGACTATTACATCTGGCTGAAGAATGCTTTTTTAAAAGTTTAGGGGACTGGGATATAGTTCAGTGATAGAGTGCTTGCTTGGCATGCATGAAGCCTTAGGTTCAATATCCAGGACCACATACACACAGGTAAAGAACAGAAAATCCTCACAATTACACAGTATTTCTTAATTTAAAAATCCTCAGCATTTACAAAATGATACTAAAGTGCCTGCTTAGGCAAGTGCAGGGACCAGGCCTAGCTGGCCCAACACCCAGGCAGGCTGAGCTGGCCACCTAGACCAGGCATGGTGGCACACACCCGTAATCCTAGAGCTGGGAAGGCTGAAAACAGGAGGACTGCTAAGAGTCTGAGCTGTGTAGTGAGACCCTGTACTTTAAAGAAAGAAAAAAAGAAACAGCTCGTGCTTTTCTTCTTTTCATAGGGTGGGAACTGAAGCAGAGCATTGTGCATGGTAGGCAAGTTTGGTTACTGAGCTACATCCCTATTTTCCATAGTTCATGTTTCAAGTAAAAAATCCAAGAAGAGTAACACATACCATTTTAAATTATGTTAAATTTTTCCATTCCGTGTTTAAAAAAAGAAAAAAAAAACCACTAAAAAACAAAAAACCAGCTTTATTCAAATGTTTTCTTTCTTTAGAGGTGGAGGAGCTTGGGCAGGAACTATCTTACCTGTATCACTCAAGCTGACCTTGAACTTGTACACTTCGTGCCTCAGCCACCCTAGTAGCTGGAATAATAGGCTTGTGCCATCTAATGGCTGAATGTCTTTATGTTCATTAAGTTACTTTATTTTCAAGAATAACATACCAATTTCCGAATTCGGTCCAAGACGAGGTCAATGATCTCCTTGCCAATGGTGTAGTGCCCACGGGCATAGTTGTTGGCAGCATCTTCCTTGCCTGTGATGAGCTGCTCAGGGTGGAAGAGCTGGCGGTAGGTACCAGTGCGCACTTCATCTGGAAGAGAAGAAACCCAACCACCATTGCTAAAAACCTGCCGGGGCCTGCTCAAGCCTGGGGCGGAAACACAGACCTCAGGTCCCGGCACCCTGGGAAACCCTGGGTGTGTCCGAGGTCCACTCACCGATGACTGTGGGTTCCAGGTCTACAAACACTGCCCTAGGCACATGTTTGCCAGCACCAGTCTCGCTGAAGAAGGTGTTGAAGGAGTCGTCTCCGCCCCCAATGGTCTTGTCACTGGGCATCTGGCCATCGGGCTGGATGCCGTGCTCCAGGCAGTAGAGCTCCCAGCAGGCGTTGCCAATCTGGACACCGGCCTGGCCAACGTGGATGGAGATGCACTCACGCTGTGGGAGAAAGAAAAGTACAAGTCATGATCAATCCCAACATGACAAGTAGATAAATGTGGAATCCTAGCCTTAAAAAAGAAAACCTAAGAGGTACTATACTTTTTTGTCCAGGGGAATGGCTAGCTCCTCTCCCACCTCCAAACTGGTAAATCCTGTTGAGCCCTGAAGGACTGCTTAGTCACGGCTTCCTCCACTGGATGACTGCGACCGAGAGGGCGCCATCTGCTCACCCAATGGTCAGGGCCCATAATCCCACTCGGGTTTAGCAGGCAGGCACGCGGCCAAAGCTGGGCTCGGGGACCACGTGGCCAGCGCAGCGTGGCAAGACGCCCACGGCCGGCGCCCGCCCTCCCGCCCTCCGCGGGCAGCACCTGCACTCCCGTCTGCGCTCAGCACAGCATCGCCAGCAGCCCCGATCCCGAGGTCTGCCTTGCAAGCTCTCCAACCCCCTGCAAGCGCACACCCACTCCTGAACGCCCAGGGCTGCAAGAGGGAAGATGGCGCAGGGCCGCTGGAGGCGGTTTTCCTAACATGCTGCTACGCAGTGAGGGCTACACGGTTAAGGTGCCCTTCCCAACCGTTTATTGTTTTCGCTGAAAATAAAAAAACTACAAATTCGGGGCAGCAGCCACACCCGGAGGCCGCGGCGCGCAAGCGCAGACTGCAGCGCGCCTTCCCGCCGCCCTCGCGCGGGAAGTAACGGTCGCGCGTGCGCGCTGGCCTCCCGCGCTTCCCGCCCCCGCGTTCGCGCCCAGGAGGAAGCGAGGGCGGGGCGCGCGCCGGGGC